GTAGTGGTAGTGGTAGTGGCAATGGTAGTGGTAGTGGTAGTGGTAGTGGTAGTGGTAGTGGTAGTGGTAGTGGTAGCGGTAGTGGTAATTGTAATAGTAATCGTAGTGGTAGTGGCAGTGGTGGTAGTAGTAGCAGTAGTGGTAGTAGTGGTATTATTAGTCGTAGTAGTAGTAGTAGTAGTAGTAGTAGTAGTAGTAGCATTAGTAGTAGCAGCATTAGTAGTAGTAGTAGTAGTAGCAGTAGTAGTAGTAGCAGTTCGTGGTTAGTAGGTAATAGGTAGTAAGTACCAGGGGTAGAGGCAGCAGAGGTAGTAAAAATACTACAGGTAGTAGAGGTAGCACAGGTAGTGTACAGGTAGTAGAAGTAGTAGAGGCAATAACGACAGAGGTAGTAGAAGTAGTACAGGTAGTAGAGGTAGTACAGGTAGTACAGTAAAGGTAGTAGAGATAGTAGAGGTAGTAGAAGTACAAGTAGTAGAGGTAGTTGAGGTAGTAGAGGTAGTAGAGGTAGTAGAGGTAGCAGAGGTAGTTGAGGTGGTAGTGGTAGTAGTGGTAGCAGTAGCAGTAGTAGTAGTAGTAGTAGTAGTAGTAGTAGTAGCAGTAGTAGCAGTAGCAGACAACGACTATCACTATGGCTATGGCTGCCACTACCTCTTCCGCTTCCGCTACTGCTGCTGTGCCGCTACGGCTACCGCTGCTTCCGCTGCTGGTGCTTCTGCGACTACTGACTACTACTGCCACTACTCACACCATGTTACACATCGCTCCGTGCTGCGGATCGCACTTTTCTGACACGTACTGGCGCCAACGCCTCATACTCCGCAGCAGTCCGCAGCATGTCGTCATGAACACTAAAGTCCACGACACTACATGTATCTCCTGAGCACGACTCCCTGAACCCCTCCAAACACCTGCACAACTAAAGTTCGGGAGTTTTCAACGGCCCTATACCCAAAGCGCCTGCGTTCCCGAAGCAGCGGGCAGCCGTGTCAGGCCCCGCGCCAGAAAGATCTGAGTCGCAGAAAGAGTCGGCTGTCGCGAGTCGCGAGGCAGAGAGCCTGGCCTGGCCTGGCCCAGCTGGGTGCAGACTCCGAGCGCGAGCAGCCAGACCTGAGTCCAGGCGCCGACCTTCGGCCTTCGGCCTTCGGCCCAGGCCCAGGAAATCCTTTCGAGGCGCCGGCCCAAACTGCCGGGTCGCGGCCTTCCTGGAGGCCAAACCTGCGGATTCCGCACTGGCAAGGCACACACTTTGCGAAAGTGCAACTGGGACTCGGACCATGCATCCTTGCAGCAGAAGGGAAGCGAGACCTGCGAATCTTGCAAGAGACAGAGGTAACCAGAGGAAGCCAAAGCCTTCCTTCAGCCGCTCCGTGTGCTCAGAGCGGGGCCACAGGAAGAGCCAGCAAAATCCACATCTCGCCCTCCGGCATGCATCTAGGCTTTGTGCTTGCAGAGGCACCCGGCTCCTCCTGGCTGCGCCCGAGGGATCTAACACAGCAATACGCAGCACCTGGCGAGCAACAGGCTTCTGTTCATTGGCTCTGCTCAACTGAGCGATTCGCCAGCACAGGACCCTGCTGGCTAACGAG